TACAGAATACAAAAATTAAAGTTACAAAGTACTAAGATTAAAACACTTAACATGTAGTATTGCATGGCGCACAGGGTTAATTTTTAGCGAGATCTAAAATGATTTTTAAGGCAAGACTTGAATCTTGTTAAGTCGTGTACACTCCTCAAATGTCAGTTAAAATAACCTCAACTTTCAGTACTGAGAACAGAACAGAACAGAACAGAACAGAAATTTATTGCTCTTAAATATTAATTACATTTGGTGACAATATAGAGAAATCTAAATATATCATAAATGTATAATAAATATTTATAATAAAGTGATAAGGAAAATTATACTAATTTATATTCATATCATCTGTGCATATGACAATACAGACTGAGAATAGAGGTTAGTTGAGATATTTGAGCCTGGAGGGCAAATTAACAGTGACAAAGCTAGAACTCACACACGTGATCCAATCATGCCATCTACCTTATCCAATAAGGACAAAGGATTCATGGGTGACATGACACCAAATTAAAGTAGCCAATCATAGGTCGATCAGTATGATATAAGGATAGGCGCTCCTTGGTGGTGATTGTATTGTACACGGAGCTGTTTTAGAGGGGCATTGATTAGAAGATTTCAACGAGCAACCTACTAACTATACTCGCTGCTGTATCTTTCCACAAGGTTGGTGCAAACTATTTAATTTGTTCTACCTCAATCTGATGAAATGAATTGTTCTTCTTTATGCTAGTTCTTCTGTTTTCTTTTGTGCTAGAAATGAAAAGTGTATTGACCTTGCTTCATATTCAACTCCTAAATCATGGTTTTTAGTCGTAACTGTGAATGTAATTCTTTTCTTTTCATTCAATTTTGAAGGATGAAATCCATTTTCATCTTGGTCTCACTGGTGGCCATTGGTATGGTGAACGCAAAACCCCAACATCATTGGTGCCCCATGTAGAAAATGTTACATCCCAGACGGCAAAGGCAACTGTGTCTATGATAAATTTGGTTGTGGAGGCGCCCGCAAGAGAGAGCCATTTAGCTTCGCTGATATGGTCCCATGCTTAAAATGTTTCATCAGAAACGACCATGGCATCTGTACCTATGATGAAGTCTATTGTGCAGATTTCGAAGAGTAATCATATAATCGTTGCATTTAAAACGTAAGACTGAATTGTAACCTTGTAAAATGTTGAATGCAGATCACCTGCATTTAGCTATTGTTTCTTCCAAATAAATTGCTTCTAAAAACCTTAACCTGAATCTAACTTCATTTTTTTTTTCTTTGATCGCTTTGTTCCTAGGTCGGTTTTAGCGCACTTTAGCCAACATAAGTCTCAGGCGTTTTGAGCTAACAGTACTCACAGAGATATTCTCTATTTCATCATTTGCCTTTTGTCAGCGATCCTGGGTTGACATCATATCCCGGCAACGAAAAGAGACTATATCCAAAAGAAAGTAAAGGCCATTCTTATTTATTTGATAAGGGCTTTGAAATAAGGAAGAGATCCTGTGGGCTTGATAGATACTTAAATGCTTTTTTCCTGCGGAATAGGATATTCTTTGCTGAAGGTGTTGGTGCCGATCAATAAATAACCAACCAACTTTTACTTTTACAACCACTGAACTGTTACTGTGAAATTGAAATGAAAATTTTGTTTCAATTGATCATCATCTTCGTAATATTTCGCTATTTCAATGAATCCTTTTGCTTTCATGCTATTTTCAAACTCCGAGCGCCCTAAAACAAAAGGTGAACATTTGTCCTGTGGAATAGAGTGTTCGTTGTTTGAGGATTAGGTGTTCAAAAATTGCTTTTGATTGTACACGACGAGGCTTAGGGTAAGCATAGTTGCTTATTGCACTGGTTTTCCGTCCTTTATCGATATATCGATATATATTTTATTTGCAGACAATTTTGCAAAGCGCAATATATATATATATACATACACAGCGATATGCAGAAATTATGATCCTTTTGTATGGCCCATTCTTATGTGCCAACTGTGTTTGCTGGAAAGTTGGCAAGTGAGTTTTATGTGGAAAATAAAAATTGCCACACACCGAAAATTGTCCGTGTATACGAGAAGGAACATAAATTATTTTGATGTCATCTAGTTCTTTTATTTATCGGCGCCATCTTGCTTTGTACCCTAGCCTTTATTTCATAGGCATCTCCGCTGTCCGAAATTATTACTTACGCAAATTGACAACAAATATTTGTCGATCGTCTATAAAAATTGCACGTGCAGATGGGGCTTTAGATCCCCGACAGCCAAGGCAACTGCGTCTAACTGCGCCAAACCCAGTTCATCTCAAGCGTGTCTTGCTGGACAATCAAGGCAACTGCATCTACTGTTCTGCCCTCTGCTGTGACCAGAAACGCCACAGACTAATTGATCAAGTTTCTTTGTAGGTTTAGAATATCTATTTACCCATCCGATACGTCTTATCCCACTACCTATCAATCAATGCTCTAGTAAATTATATGTTTTTGAATGGTGAAAATAATATACAATTGGAACCGAACGTCAAGTAAATAATACAAAGACAAAATTTACTATACACAAAAATCTTTTGTTTTATTTTTCAGAGACCAACAAAATCTTTTGACAAATTAGCCTATAAAGCGTCAAGTAAATGGTAAACTAAACTATAATCATCGAGTATAGGTTTGATAGAAAGAGGAATGATTTGCAGCATTCTGGACCTTCATGTTTGCTGAATCCTTGGCTGTTTGCTAAACTTGTTAGTCTTACAAAACCTGCTTTCAATATTGCTAAAAATATCTTAACTAGTATGCGGAGAGATAACGGGCAATTTTCGATGGAGTTTTAAGGTCAAACAGCCGAATGTTCTGTTGAATGAAGCACTGTCAGTAAAAGCTCTTGCAATCGCAGTTTTATGGGGACCCACGGCCAGTGTTTTCGGTTCTATGGTCTTTGCCGTTTCGCAAATTAACTACTCCCTCTTTTTTAAAGTTTCTGCCAGTCTCGTAATGTAATCAATCGCAAGACGTAGCGTTTCCAGTTTTGAAGGTCGATTACATTCAGTATTGTTGGAAGAATTCAGTACATTCCACAAACGATTAAATCCGATATTAAGCAACTCATTTCGATGTCTCTCTCGTGGACGAGCCTCGATTTTATAGCGCGTTCTATTTGAATGACGTCTGATCTTTCTCGTGCTGCTTCGACCTCCAAGGTCTTCGATTGCAAATTTCTTGACGATCTTTGATCTCGGTCTTAGACCATATTCACTATTCACTTTTAAATGGGTCCCCGTTGCAATAATATTAGCATTATTATCTGCACATGTACTCGTCACATCTGTACTGACTTTGCTGCCAAAGGTTTTTCCATCCATTAAGGCTAGGCTGACTGGTTCAGCAAACAGTGTGCATATGATACGACCTCTAATTAAAACTACCAGTGCAAGCGGTTTCCAGAGACAACAAGCTAATTATATGCTTTTAAATAGGTAACCTATTATAAAGAGACAATAACACTTTGCATAATAATGGCAGGCATTAGCATGGGTCAACAGGCAGCAAGGTAGGGAGGGTCGACCAGAGGATCGTAATTAAGTACCGGAAGTGTCCGTATTACACGGGTGTCCCTCATTTGAGGTTGAACTTTTAATGTTATTCGATTATCTAATTAGTTGTTGCGAAAAACCACAGTATTTTAGATCTTGTATCGCAAAGGCGCTTTGGACTATAGCAAGTTAAAATAATCGCTCTTTTCTAGCTGAGTCAACATTGATTGTGCAAATTTAGTATAAGTCAAGATCGAATTAACTCGGCAAAACAAAACTAAATGCTGAAATACATAGATTTTAGATTTAAGTAAACATTTTTAAAAAATCGTTTGTGAGGAGTAATTCAGAGAGAGAAAGTCCATAAATCGTCTTCATAATGTTGGCGCGTTTCACAGATAATGTTGGCGCGATGTGGGCGCCTGTTTTCAAGGCTATTCACTCTTTAAGCAGCTTATGATTTCTTGTTCAAACTTGTCAAGTTAGAGGCAGAGTTAAAGTATCATTTCCTTTTAAGCTCCTCATTTTATCCTTCATCACACTGTTTATCCAGGCTTTTCTGGTTTTGATTTGCATCGTAAGCTGAGTAAAGTATCGGTTTACGGCTGACGGCTGGACATAAATTTTATATTCCTCATCCCACGCGGGGTAATTATATAATTCACTTATAAGAACTATTAGAAAAAACCATTAAATTCAAGTGTTTTGGGCTGTTAATAACGAAATTATTTTCGGAAGTGATCGTATTGCAGTCTGATTGGCTGAGGGCGTGAGGCGGCTGCTAAAGATTTATGTCAATACTAGATATAACGAGGTTTGTGATTGGTCAATTATAAATAAGAAGCCTGGCCAAGAAGTGAAGAAAAGATGGCGAACTTAACGTTGACTTTTATATTTCTCGCCTTTTCCGTTGTCTTTATGCCACAAATAAGTGGCAAAATCGATAACAGAGATGTCATTTGGGAACAGAGAGTCTTCAAGAGTCCTCACTATGTTCATTACGATGAACTTACTAATTTTTTAAAGACATTTTCGCGAAGATATAAGAACATCGCAAGACTTATTTCAGTGGGGAAGTCAGTGCAGAATCGTGACTTATGGGTGATGCAGATCACTGATAATCCAGATATCATTGAACCTGGTGAACCAATGTTTAAATATGTGGGCAACATGCACGGGAATGAAGCCATTGGTAGACAAGTATTGGTCAATTTGATTCATTATCTTCTTCAACACTACGGCAAACCCGGTCATGAACGGATTACTAAGCTGGTTAATAATACGAATATTTTTATTATGCCGTCAATGAATCCTGACGGATTTGAAGCGGCAAATGAAGGAGAGTGTGATGGTTTACTAGGACGTGCTAATATAAACGGTGTGGATTTGAATCGAGATTTCCCTGATCAGTTTTCGAGTTGGGACACATACGATGCAAGTAAATCTCAACCAGAGACCAAGGCTTTAATAAGATGGATTTATAAGAACCCATTTGTGTTGTCAGCAAATCTCCATGGAGGGTCGGTAGTTGCTAGCTACCCATATGATAGCAATAGCCAAGGAATTGAGGTACATCAGTATAGTAAATCCCCTGACGACAAAGTATTCAGGCATTTAGCTCTTACTTATTCAAGAAATCATTTAACTATGAGTAAGGGAGATCCAGATTGTGTTGGAGGAAAGCACTTCCGTAATGGGATTACTAATGGTGCCTATTGGTATAATGTCCCTGGCGGCATGCAAGATGTCAACTATCTAATTAGTAATTGTTTTGAAATTACATTAGAGTTGTCTTGTTGTAAGTACCCAGATGCCGAAAATTTACTCAAAGAATGGAGGAAGAATAAAAAGGCTTTGTTGGCTTATATAGAAGAAGTTCATAAGGGGATTAAAGGATTTGTGAAGAACAGGAATGGTCAAGGAATAAAAGGAGCCATTATTCATGTGGTTGGTCTTGCCCATAATGTTACTACATATAAGTATGGAGATTATTGGAGATTATTGACACCTGGGAATTACACTGTAGTTGTGTTTGCAGCTGGTTATACAAGCGTTAACAAGTCACATGTCATTGTTAACGATGGTCCTCCCACTGTGATTAATTTTGAGTTACAAAAAAACAATATTTTTTTACAAGATTTACAAAAGCCAAATATTCCTCCATGGTTGAGAGACTTAATATCAACAGATAAGAAACCCCTTAGGATCGTTAAACGAAGCCTTGATGATGATGTGTCCTTAACAACTTCCAAGGTTCCATATTCATTCATTCCTACCACTGCTGAGGAGTTTAGACAGATTATTAAAGACTGGATTGAACCAAGAATATTCAAGCACCATAATCATCAAGAAATGACTGTGTTATTGAAGGCAATTGCTCGTTTGTATCCTAACATTACAAGGCTTTATTCAATAGGGAAATCAGTGCAAGGAAGAGATTTGTGGGTGATAGAAATTACTGATAATCCTGGAATCCATGAACCAGGTGAGCCAGAGTTCAAATATGTAGGAAACATGCATGGCAACGAAGTGATTGGAAGAGAAGTACTTCTGCTTTTAGCCCAGGGTTTGTGTGAAAACTACCACAAAATTAGTGCAATTACTGCCCTAGTCGATTATACTCGCATGCATATCATGCCTTCAATGAATCCTGATGGACACGAAATCTCTATTGAGGGAGACAGAGATTCTTCTAATGGAAGAGAGAATGCACATCAAGTTGATCTGAACAGGAACTTTCCCGATCCTCTTTCTGATATAAATATCAAAAGAGAGCCCGAGACTAAGGCTATCATGAAGTGGCTGACAGAGTACCCATTTGTATTGTCAGCTAATTTACATGGAGGGTCTGTTGTTGCTAACTATCCCTTTGATGACTCAGTATCAAGGAGAGAAGAATACAGTAAAAGTCCTGATGATGAAGTCTTCCGATTTCTTGCGATGAAGTATTCCAAAGCACACCCAACAATGGCTAATGGAAAACCACCCTGCTTAGATGAGCCCACTGAAATATTCAAAGATGGTATAACTAATGGTGCAAAATGGTACAATGTTATTGGTGGAATGCAGGACTATAACTATCTCCATAGCAACTGCTTTGAGATAACAGTTGAGATGAGTTGTGTTAAATACCCATATCAAACACAACTCAAATCATTTTGGGATGCTAATAAGGTGCCCTTGCTTACATTCATGGCGCAGGTCCATACTGGTATTAAAGGTTTTGTAACAAACACTGCCAATACTGGGATATATGGTGCTGTAATATCAGTATCGGGTATAGTACATCCAATCACAACAGGTAAAGATGGTGACTATTGGAGACTTCTTACCCCAGGCAGTTACACGGTCACTGCTTCTGCTAAGGGCTATCAATCACAGACCATGGCTGTAACTGTGAATAATGGTTTGGCTACTACTTTGGATTTCATGTTATTGAAAGTTGGTGAGATAAGAACAACACCAGTTGTAACCATAACACTTCCTCCCTCGACACCACAATCACCACCATCAGTTGCCATGGAAATAACACCTACAACACAACCTTCTACCGGTAAGTGGATATTAATAACTCACCCACAGTTGCATATCTTGCATTGTGCCAGGCATTTGTTTGGCATGGGAAACTTGTGTCATTCCTTATGATACATGTATTTAGCTTATGGCCTTTGTACATGCATGCAGGAGACTAGTTTAAGTATTGATTGACTGAGGCTTGGTTTTAGTTTATAGTTGTAAGGGCTACCTGTGCCACATGAGGTAACTATCTTTGTTTTCTCTTTCAGTTCACTCACCAACTGAGAGACCTTATACTTACCATAATTATGCACTGATGACAAACCTTCTTACACAATATGCTAAACGATGCTCAAATATCACCTCACTGTCAAGTATTGGCACCAGTCTGAAAGGAAAAAACATCTGGTCAATGGAGTTGTCATTTAAATCAAATCACCATGGCAACAGCTATAGACCTAGCGTTGGTTTGGTAGGAAGCTTACAAGGAAAGGATGTGGTAGGACGTGAGCTCTTATTGACATTTATTGAATACTTGTGTGAGGGATACAGGAACAGAGATGCACGTGTTGTAAAGCTACTGCAAGCTACAGATATTCATGTCATCCCCTTGGTAGATGTGGATGGAAATGAAATGGCGATAGAGGGAGATTGTGAGGGCAAGACCCACCCACAAGATGATCTGTCAAGAAGCTTTTATTACGATACCAATACCAAACGAAGACGTGATGTACCTGACAAAATAACATCTGTAAGTATGGCTATGTTGAGTAAAGACCATGATGCAAACATTGCTATTCTATATCTGTATCATTAGGGATATATTTTGCTTGAAAGACACTGAAGTAAAGGGCTAGGAAAGAAATTCTTTGACTAAGCCTCTAAATCCATAATTTGTCTTTGATTATTTTGGCTTCTTCTTTACTTTAAGTTCCTGCAGTCAGCCGCACAAGAACCTAAAGAAGTAACAGCAGTAAAAAAGTGGATGAAAGAGAAAAGATTTTCATTACTTGCTGACATCAATGGTGGAGAGCTTGTCGCAAGGTAAAATAACTAATGACTTGTGCACTTTTATGTAGGTAGATTAAAGATGCCGATAACCATTGGTGTTGTCGGTGTGAAAAAAAATATTACAGTGTGTATTAGCAAGTTAAATGTGACTTGCAGCACTGCTAGATGAGAATTAATCTTTCAAGCTGTTGATTGGTTCTGAACGGTATGTTTGTTTGACTGTGCTGTGTGTTTAATATCCACACTTGCATTTCTTTTAGATACCCTCTAAGCGGCCATTCAAGTGATGACAAACGTGTCAAAGATTCATCAACAGCTGACCAATCAACGTTTATTGACATTGCGTCATCTTATGCCAAACGTCATCCCACAATGCACTTGGGTCACGGGTGTAATGCTTCAGTAGATCATTTTGATAATGGGATTGTAAATGGTGATAAATGGAAGGAACTGCATTACACTATGCAGGACTATGCCTATCTCCATCTCAACATGCTGCAGATGTCATTCTTTGTTTCTTGCTGTAAATACCCCCAGAGGAACAGTTTTACGCCTATTCTCAAGGCAAATGGTCTGCCGTTACTTGAATTGGTCGAGAAATGCCAGCAGGCTGTAGTGGGTACTGTTCATACCTTCAACCACACGCCAATAGCCAATGTGTCTATTACTGTAGCTAATTCTGCTATACAAATAGACGTTCATCAGACAAATGCAAACTTTTACAAAATACTTGCGCCAGGGAAATACAGACTTACAGCACATGCCCAGGGTTATTCCAGCAGTACCAAAGATGTACAGATAAAGTCAGGAAAAACGACTAATGTCATGTTTAACTTACATAAAATACCCAAATTCAAACATCACAAGGGTGAATCGATTGGTCGATGGATGAAGGACATGTCCAACAGATGCCCTGATATATCACGTGTCTATAATATCGGTATGACGTCACAGATCCGTCGTTTGTGGGTGATGGAGCTGTCCAACAACCCAGGCAAACACGAACCAGGAGAACCGGAAGTCAGATATACTGCAGGTATCCATGGCAACGAGGTGGTTGGTAAAGAACTGCTGTTGTTATTGATAGAGCATTTGTGTTTGAGTTACGGCAAAGATGACGTAGTAACACGCCTGCTCAATACCACTCGTCTGCACTTCCTGCCTCTTATGAACCCAGATGGCGCTACTCTCGCTGAGGAAGGGGATTGTCACTCAACTAAGGGAAGAGACAATGCAAGAGGTGTAGATTTGAACTCTAACTTCCCAGGTAAAGATATATTAGATCTAAATGTACCGTATTTATATCATACACGCTTTGCAACAATGGCAAACATGACAGTTGGCAGATTAAAAAGGCTGAGTCAGTTCTCCAGGGGAAAAAGATTCTATTGTTGTTCCAACTATCATGGCTGCTATCACGTAATGGTGCAAATCCTCTATTGTGTTAAAATAGGTTTTGTACGACTTACGTAAACCTTTCATATGTTGTGATATGACTGCCGCAATACCTCTGAGGCTTTTGATTGGCTGAGTCGTATTCTGGTGTGCTGTGATTGGATAAAGGGATCAGTGTTCTTAACCTCAAAACGTTATCAAGAAATCTTCTAAGTATGACTAATTTTGATCAAAATGTCTTTTTTTACAGGAATTTACAGCAAGACCCACAAGGTCCGCGAACCAGAGACACAGGCGATTATGAAATGGTTAAAAGAAAATCCGTTCGTCTTAGCAGCCAACTTGTATGGAGGTAGTCTACATGCTGGCTACCCTTACTATGCCCACCCTAAAGACATAACTTCTGCTAATCTACCTCCCGACGATGACGTATTCCGTTACCTGGCAACTACTTATGCCAACGCACATCCCACTATGCATCATGGGAAGCCTTCGTGCCCAGGCCTTGAGGCGAGGGAAGAGTTTGACAAGGGAATAACCAATGGAGCTGCTAGAAGAAGCTACAGCGGTGGGATGCAAGACTATAGTTATGATAATACGAACTGCTTTGAGATATCCGTGTATGTTGGTTGCTGTAAGTTCCCATATGCTCGTGAATTGGAACACCTCTGGAAGGAAAATAAAGATGCCCTTATGCAGTTTGCTTTTCAGGTATTTTTTTTCCTTTGTATTTGCCTGTTCAGCATATTAAGAATTTATGTTGACATACTATTCTCGTTCCAGGCTCATCGTGGTATTCGCGGCTTTGTACGGGATGACAAAGGCAACCCAATCAAAGATGCTGTTATATCAATCAATGGCAGGCAACATGACGTCACTACTGGCGAACACGGAGACTACTGGCGACTTCTAGTTCCAGGAAAATATGAAATCACGGTCTCAGCACCAGGAAGAGGCAAGACTACTAAGCACATTGAAGTCTTACCGAATGAGCCAGCAATGCAGGTGGACTTAATGGTCAGCAGTAAGGGGTTCCCGTTTGGAATGCCAGCCATGATTGTTGCTGCTATTTGTGTTCTTGTTCTTATCACCCTTCTTTTGGTTTGTTGTGGATTATGGAAAATTAACAGGCGAAGAAAACTAAGAACTGCTTTACGAAGAGGCGGTTACCAAAATGATTATGACAACGCCCTGTCAATCGATTCATTCAACTCGAAAGCCTTGCTTAATAATGATTACTCTGATGATACAGAAGACGACGAAGAAGACATTATTTTAGAACATCCCAGAAGATGAACATACTTTAAATAGTTCAGCTCCGATCCTATTTTAATCGATTGAGTAGAATGTTTGTTAATTATCGACGATAAGTGAAAATAATCGAAAACATTAATGAAGCGCATCGTTGTTCTTTTCATCCATTGGGTGATGACGTCATGGTACTACATTTACCATAATCCTTATCAAAATTGTCTAGAATGCTAGAGCACGAAAATATATTAAGGACTGATGAGCTCGTTACCATCACGCCATATTACCTTCTTAAAACGAGCAACTATGTCAAAATAAACAACATAAATGAAAAAAAGAGCACCTCGACATTAGTATGCAGGCGGAGTCATACTATCACATTGGACTACTGTCTTCGCATGGATACTTGTCTCTCCCTCCACGGGATGAACAAACCTACCGAGTAGGGTGGGGTGGGGTACCTCTGTACGCAGACATGATTCTGTTCTATACTTGAGGTTTATCCTTTAAGACGGAGATGACTCCAAGGGTCGCAATATTTTTCTATTCGTCAATTCTGTACAGAAATACTTAGAAATGTCAGTTTGAATTAGTTTAACATGCAAATGGGTTTAACAAATATTAGTGTTGGGGATAATCAAGAGAATATCTCGGAATAATATAAAGTTCAAAATATTTTTTTAAGCAACAAAATTCTACGAGGTAACCTGAAAAAAATAAACTAAGAATATTTCAACAAACACTGGGCATTTTATCCTTAAAGTTTGTAATAATCAGGTTTGGGAAATGAAATAGAAAATAAATAAACTATAGCACTATTAAAGGAAGGTGTTGACGATCTGTTGAGTGATTCGCGCGGGGTCTTCTTGTAAGGCATACATCTTGTAGTCCTATTGCACATGTTAGCGCACCTGTCATTATAGTCTGCGCACTGTCGACATGTACTCGAATGCTTGGTCAAAGTGCATCAAAGTTAATTTAATTAGTCAGAAACGATATTGACTAACAATCATAACGAACAGATTTGCACGAGTTCAAGAGAAGGACAAGTATACTCGAGAAATGTACTTAGTTGTATCTATACGGACAAATAGGACTATTAAAGTAAATGGTTGCTCAAAAATGTTTGGGTAACAATCGTTTCAGAACAATCCTACGTCGGTTGTGATTTCTTTCACGAACTACTAAAAAGAAACAATGTTTTACCTAAATTTAGATTGTCTAGTGGTTTTGTAGATGATGTAGGGCCAAGTCGTGGCGAACGGGACCATGCAGAATCTATCAAACATGAAGATAAGCAAGGCTGTTTAAAAAAAAGTATTCGATGATTTACGTTCCGTACCTTGAGACATGAAAACAGTCCTTCTCTTCCTTCAGTGGTAAAGTACTTGCAGTACAAATATACATGGTAAAGTACTTGCAGTACAAATATACATTACTTTTCTTCCGTTAATGGTCCCAGTAAGTCGTCTGCTGATGATTTTATGACAGTGCACGAGATAGCAATGTATCGAGCTATGCTTTAAACGTCTTTTGTAAGGGGATATAGTGTTAACATAACGTGTCACGTTTCGTTGTCTACAGTCAACCTTTGGACCATCACATAACCTTTGTACCATATGATGGGAGACTGAATATTGGTAAGTTTACTGCCGGTATCCTTGAAATAACAAAAACAAAAAACAAACAAACAAGCTACCCCTCCCCTAAAAGAAAGAGAATGAATGGATGGATGAATGAATAAAAAAAAGGGAAGAAAAAAATACGGCATTTCTCAGCCTATTTCCCTTACTATTGATCTTTAATTAGTTCAATTCGTCTTTAATTTTTTCTTATTTTCTTTCTATCGTTTCTCATTTTTTCGTTTATTTCGTTCCAGAATAGATTTTGGCGTAGGACTGGTGCTGAGACGCCATAGCGAGGTCCATCCGCCATGTTGAATGTTGTTCGAGTCTTGTTATTCACAGCAAAGAATGGTTAACAGGACGAAGAATGCTGTAGAACTGCTATAAAAACCAAGTTAACATGGGGAAAAGGAAAGATAAAGAGTTAAATAGTGAAGAAGGGAGAGGTAAATATGCTGTTTTTTGTTTGTTTGATGGCCTTCAAAACATGGCCACGGGTTCATGACCAAGATGAAGTTTTTTCACTTCAACTCATTATTTAAGCAATTCATAGGATCAAGATTTGATGTCTCGTTTTAAAAACAGAATAAAATTAAATCGTTGGATTAAGATCTCTTCTAAGATATTACAATGACAAATATTGTTACAACGATATGTCCAAATATCATACCAGTGACACAGGGAGCCCAATCTATTTTACTATCATCATCATCATTCATAAAAAACTGTTGTAAATAAAAGGACTAGTAGTCTCACCACTACAACAACTTTTTCCTCCTATTAGTATGATGCTGTTAATAATAGTACTACTCATGCTGCTTATGCTTAAAAGAATTTGGAAATATTAATTTCATTTGTTTGCGATGTAATTTTGGTTATGATTAACACTTATCGACTGGGACCAGAGAAGGCAATGTTTTCTGAGGCAAAGAAGAGGGAAATATTGTAGTTGAGGAATCACAAAACACATTGCTTTCCAGAGGTTCTAGTCAATAAGTGTTTTGTTCCAAGCGATTGCCAGTAAACAGTGGCACCTTCTTGACCAATGAGAAGAGAGAAAAATGTACTTGAAGTTTAATAACTTATTTTGTTATAATTAAACTTTTCACAGTTTCTTCTCCCAAAAAGAAGCACAAACATAAGCACAAGAAGCATAAGAAAAGAAAAGAAGCGGAAGATGAATTTAGCAGAAAAGAAAGAAAGAGAGATAAAATAAAAAGCAAGGATAAAGAACGACAGCATGAACCAGAAGAGAGATCCTTAAAAATCAAAATCAAACTTGGTGGACAAACACTGACAACAAAACAGTAAGAGATTTGTGTCATTTATGTATTGTAAGCAAGGGTGGTGTAGCAGTAGTGAACTCGACTCTCACCTCTGGGGTCTTAGATCTGATTCCTGGACTAGGCATTACATAGGAGTAGAGGTCTATACCTTGACTCGAGAGTTTATATCTAAATTCTCTGTTTGTTTTTATCTTCCTCTGATAAACTAAATTCCAATGCATTCTGTAAGCCTGCTGTGTTCTGACTTTGAAAAGCCATATTAGCATATTAATAAATGTGACTTTTTATTAACAATTTGATTTAATATCTGCCATTAAAGATCTAGAAATAGGAGGATGTTACTTTTTTCTTTTTTGAGGGTTCCTACCATCGTGCCAATATCTGATCCTGAACCAGTTGTGTCTAGTGAAGAAGAGGAAATTGAAATTGAAAATGAAGTGGAAGAAATAGCAGAAGAATCTGATAAAAGCTACCAAGTTTCCTTGCAAGGTAATGAGGATACTAGTAGCACATGCATCAATGGAGCTATGAAGTAACCAGCAATTAAAGTGATTGACTTTGAACAATTGCAGAAGGAAGTGAAGTTGAAGAGTCAAAAAAGAAAGGAAAAGTTTCAGAGTGAGTATGAAGCTAACTCACCAATATCCACCATGACTGTTATGCACAGTAGATAAATAGTGCTTGAACAATAGGAAATTGGGCATGATTGTATTCAAGCATAGTTATTAAAGAGAGATTTATTATTATTTAGCCATGAAGAAGAGGAATGGTTGAATGCACTGGAGAATGGAGAGTTAGATGATTATGGTCGACTGAAACAAGAAAAAGATATTAGTACAATGACTGCAAGACAGGTAACAGGCAGACTGTATCTGAATCACATAAAAACCCTTTGATTCCCTTAAAACCAAACAACAATCTTATTGATTCCTGAAGCACCCACTCTCAGTTATGCATAGCTCACAGCTAACTCACAGATCAAACGACCTCTGAGTTGATCTAAGTCATTCAAGTCAGTGCATGGCTAACTCACAGATTGAACCCTAAACATCCTCTGAGCTGATTAATGTTAGAGTATAGTTACCCCACATTGAATTTTTGGAGGGAGAAAATTTGGAGAAAACCCCTCAAGTCAAGAGAGAGACCCAACAAATGTTACTCACATTTCATGCTGAGTCCAGGAATCAAACC